AGGGAATGGGGAGATGATGGGTTTGGAAGAGGAGGGATGGCGAGAGGAGGGATAGGGAGAGGATGGATGCGGAAAGGATGGATGGGGAGAGGGGGGGATGGGTATAGGAGGGGATGGGGAGAGGAGGGATGGGATGAAGGTGGCAGAGAGAAGAGAAGCAAGCAAGGGGGATTTGGTTCTGTGGAATAGGGAAGAGAAGGGAGTAAGTGTATGCGATGGGAGGGGAGTGAGGAGATGGGGTGAGGAGATGGGGTGAGGAGATGGGGTGAGGAGATGGGGTGAGGAGATGGGGTGAGGTGGTGGGGAACAATCTTTTCGGCGAGGTGGAAGATGGGAAGAAGCAGGGAGGAGAGGGGACGGGGTGGAGGTGACGGGGAGGTCGTGGGATGGGGTATGGTGGGATGGTGAAAGTAGGCATGGGAAAAAGGAAGGATGGCGAACAGAGGCAGAGGGAATGATGGGATGGGGAAACGAGGAAAAGGGGATGGGAAGTAGGATGGCAGGGCGGAATGGGGTGAGGTAGAATGGGGTGGGAATGGGGTGGGGCGGAATGGGGCGAGGCGGAATGGGGTAAGGCGGAACGGGGTGAGATGGAATAGGGTGAGGCGGAATGGGGTGAGGCGGAATGGGGTGAGGCGGAATGGGGTGAGGCGGAATGGGGTGAGGCGGAATGGGGTGAGGCGGAATGGGGTGAGGCGGAATGGGGTGAGGCGGAATGGGGTGAGGCGGAAGGGGTGAGGCGGAATGGGGTGAGGCGGAATGGGGTGAGGCGGAATGGGTGAGGCGGAATGGGGTGAGGCGGAATGGGGTGAGGCGGAATGGGTTTAGGCGGAATGGGTGAGGCGGAACGGGTTTAGGCGGAATGGGTGAGGCGGAATGGGTTTAGGCGGAATGGGTAAGGCGGAACGGGTGAGGCGGAATGGGTGAGGCGGAGATGATGCCTCTCATGTCACGGCGCCCCGACTCAGCTTGACGAGGAGCCCGTGGCAGCGGTGTTCCAGCAGGTCGCACGCCCACACTCCTCTGCCCCGCGTCCACCCTGTCCTTGGTGGCACAGGATGGAATGGGGTTGACGGGGGAGAGGCGGGGAGGGGGACACGGGGCGGGGTCCGCATCTTCTACAGCAACAGCAGCAGCCGTGAAGGAAGGGACACAGACGGGATAAGTGAGGGGTGGGGGGAACGGCGTGTGCGACGTACGGGCAGTAAGCGTGTGCGACGGAAGAGATTGCGCGTGGGCGACGGAAGGGGAGTTAGCGTGGGCGACGGAAGGGGAGTTAGCGTGGGCGACGGAGGGGAGTGAGCTGGGCGACGGGAAGGGAGTGACCATGGGCGAAAGAGGGATTGCGCGAAGGCGACGGGAGGGGAGGGAGCGTGCTCGTTCGAGGGAAATAAGCGTGGCGACGGGAGGGAAAGAGCGTGGCTTTGGAAGGGAGTAAGCGTATGCGACGGAAAACCAGATATTTATCCCGTCGCAGGTTGCAAGTCTTGGCGTCAAAGTAAGTATGAAGAACTATAATCTCAAGAAACGCGATAGCTCTCTCTAATCTGAGAAGAACCTAGAGACGCTAAATGCGATGGGCAGAGAGCACGGCGCGGCTACGAGCAGAATCGATTTCGATGCGGAGGGCGATGGGCATAAGCGCTACCCGAATGGGCATGGCCCGTGACGTGGACTGAAAACAATAACTCAGGCTAGCGAAAGGCTGCGGTGACGGATCGGACGGATGGGGGGAATAGGTTGAGTGAGGAATGGTGGAAGAGAATAAGGCGGAAAGGCGACGACAGGTGGAGAAATGGAGGAGTCTAGCTGTTCTAAGCCAGGGGTGTCATTACCAGTCGGCTAGGAACTGAGCGTGGCTAGCCGACCTGTGTTACATTATAGATAGGTCTGCAGACTCAGGACGCGTCACAATTGCAACACCGATCTTGTGTAGGATCGGTGTTCACCATCTACAGTTAATTCGCCATTTGGCGAATATTGTGTATCCCGATTTCGTACAACCATGACGCGAATAGCGTGAACTTGCAGCTTGACGAGATTGCCCCGCTCGAAATGTCACATCGATCGTGCGATTGGCAGCGCGGGAAACGAAATCGCGCCACCGGTGCCAGCCACGATCGATCGCCGTCGCATACTGTTGGCCACTCTCGAAGTGGTCACAGAACGACATAAAAAACTGTGGGTGGGCGACATCTGCGCTGTGCGACCGCGTCGTCACAACCCAGGCGAAAGTGAACGACGCGCCAGCGAAGCACGGCACCTGTGCTCGAAACTGGTTGTACACTTGGTGGAGGTCCCCCACTTGCAAATCCAGTCGTGTCTCACTTGGCTCGGAGAAGCAGCCTAAGGGCGCGTGACTTTGTACAGTATTTTGCAAAACTTATACATTTAGTCGACTTTTAACAATTCGACCTGGGGTCGACTGTATCGCGGACTGTAAATCGAGGTGGTATGCCTCGCTTCAAAGGAATCACACGGTCAATGAAAGCTCGAGTATCGAAGTTGAACTTTTACAGAGGCCCCCGAGCCGCTTCCCTCCTCTGTAGGTTACCCGGTTGTGGCATCTTGACAGAGCGCCACGTAATGGTGCGCGACGCGATGACACACAGGCTACAAATAGCCCTCGTGTCAAGCCTACTCCACATCATTTTTCGCACAATGACGAACATACAGCTGCTGCGTTTCCTCGCCATTATCTGGCAGGGCTACCTGCGACTCTTCATCCTGCCTGTTTCCGTCGCAATCGGCACTGCTCTACCAACACTCGTCGCTGCCTTCTCGCTCCGTCAAACTCAGGTCTTCGTCAGGCGAGACCGCTTGGACTCGCGCATCCGATGGTTCCGTCTCATCTCCATCCTCCCGGACGGAAGCTTCTACGAGTACATGAGGGTGGATAAGCGAGTTTTTACATATTTGGTGAGGCAATATCAGCGCAGCAGGTTCGCCACGTAGCAAAACCCGGTTTACAATTTCGTGCACGTTGCCATGGCACTTAGCAAACTTGGGCACGGGCTTCCGTTTCGTGTGATTAGGTTGCACTTTGGGTATAGTTACTCGTACACCCAGAGATTGTTCGGCCGATTCCTCAACTTCATGGAACGTGTCCTGACCCCGAAATGGGTGTGGTGGCCAGACGGGAGAAGAGTGTCGTGGCACGTATCCTGCCACGTGTTTGTTGGCGACGTCGGCAGCCACTTTTACGGTACCGAACGTGCGGGCGATGCGTTGTCCCCGTGACGCTAATTTCGCCAAAATGCATTCGGATGGGCGGGCGGACACACGAGCGGGTTTTCGTGCTCGAGTTGTTTGTCTTGAAAGGTCGAGATAGGTTCAGGCTCATATCAGGTGGCCAAGAAAGGGGTAGGACACACGTGCGTTTAGCGAACAAATTGGCGACATTTGCGAACAAAGTTACCACCAAAAGTTCGACCTTTTTTTCGAACTTTACTGTACAAAGTCACGCGCCCTAACACTGCTCATGCAGTTTGGAGACCGATTTTCATACGCGCTGCACACATTTTCGGTGTTCGGTCCCCCGAACCTCCCCGGTGTTGCAATTGTGACGCGTCCTCAGGGCACATGTCCCCGAGGTTGGGTTGCGACAGACCCGAGCGATCCAAATCTACGTTTTGCGTTGGACACATGGTAACCACAGAGGTTTGGGACTGAAAGTGTTAGCCCGCTGAGGTTTGGAAGGATCGCAAAGCTGAGGTTCGGCTCAGTTTGTATTGAGGCTTCGGTTTTGAATGGTGCATGTCCTGTCGCGCTGGGAATACACCCTGTTCTCGATAATTTTACGGCCTCAAATCCCAAACCGCGATTTCCTTTTCCCGAGAGGGTGTGAAATTAAAGCGACGGTGCACATTTGCCACCCGAAACCCTAAACCCTGGCGAGCTGTTACTGCGGAAGAAAAGTGTCCGCACGAAATCCAGGTTTTCGTCTGCCAACACTTTCGCGCTGGCAAGTCTGGTTCAGAAAAAAAACTTTTGAGCCTCCCGCTGGCAAATCTAGACCCTCTCTAGGCAATATTGTCCCTGATAATTTCACCATCGAGGCGCGGTACAGCTGTGCTGGCAGGGAATGAAACATGACTTGAATAGACCCAGAGAGTGTTGACGATCTTGAAAAATCTTTGCATCCAATGAAAAACAGTCACGTCAGGATTGCGTTTATCGTAACCCTGACCACAAATTCGATTCTGATTTTGGGCTCCCAAAATTGAGGAGTTATTCATGATCAGGTTGAATTTCGACACATGCGCGACTTTCCCAAAGTAACACGTGTTTGTAGCAAATCCAGTCCAGTCGTTATAACTTCAAGAGTTGCAACAGATATTGAAACCGTCTTGTTTCCCACTTTTGAACACGACCCGAACAGACCCAAGCTTCCCCACTTCTCTGGCTTGCTGACAGTATAAAAAGCCGATCATTTCTGCACATCTCGCTTCAATGATCCCTCACGGTTCGCCAGCTAGGCAGCCCAAAGCCTTTGCTGGTGATCCCGAGTCGGGGTATGAAATTAGAGGGTGTGAAATAATCGAGAACAAGGTGTATTGAGAGGAGGGGGGTGTGAAATTCGATTCGGGCGCAATTTGCAACCTCCCTTTGCCTCCTAAATCTCAACTCGTCGAGCGTCCCGTTTCTTTCTCGTCACCATAATATTTTCCCTCTAGAGTGGGAGAGGGAGAGGGAGAATAATAGATGTTAGTAGTTGGTCATGTTTGATGCACGGCGCGGTGCTGGGTGTGTCGCACCAGAGAATATCCGGTACAGAGCGGCGGAGGCGTTACCGAGGGTGTGTGATATTAACGAGGCGAGCACCGCTCCGTCAGCAAGCCTTTTTTGCGGGAGAGATAGTTTTTTTGTAGCAGAGTGGTAGTCGAATCACAACTCACCTCGTTAACAAAATTACGTCTAATTAGGTGCTTGCGAGAGGGCGGCAATCCGTGAGACGGGAGAGAGATTCGGTGATGGAATCGCGGGAGGGTGCTGACGGAATGACGGAGTCGCGGGAGGGTGCTAACGGGATGATGGAAGCGCGGGACGTAGTGGGCGTTGAAACGGGCATCGGCGCAGCTGTCATCGCGCGCGAATACCTTGCAACGGGCATGGGTGCTGGCAAACCATCATTGCGCGAATCCCTTCCGGCGGGCATGGGCGCTGGCACACCATCATTGCGCGCAATCCTTCCACCGGGCATCGGCGCGGCCGTCATTCCGCGCGAATCCCTGGCGACGGGCATCGACGTGATTCTGGGGCGTGAGAACCCGCCGAATGGTCCGCCGCTTCTGCGGTGCTACGCGCGGCGTCTTCCGCCTTGTCTGGCGCAGCGGAATGCTGCGGGGGTTGGGGATGGGGTGAAGGTGGAGGGTGTTTGCAAAGGGACAATTGGGAAGAAAAGAGGATGTGTTGGCAAAGCTCGTGGTGTGAATGAGTTGCTTTTCGCGAGTGGAGAGGAGAGGATAAAAGGTTCAAGGCGGGCAGGAGAGGATGACAAGGAGAGAGAGAGGGGAGCAGGCAAGGTGAAGGAGGGGAAAGAAAAGGAAAAGGAGACGGCAAGGGAGGGGAAGGTGGAGAAGGAGGAAGGGGGAAAAGGGAAAATGAAGAAGGACGAGAGTGGGGAGGGGGGGCATGAGAGTCTCCACGTGTGTGACGAGTGTGGGAAGGAGTTTGCTACATGGTCAAAGTTGAATCATCACGTGGCCACCCACACAAAGCCGGTGTGCTTCCCTCACTCCCTCAGTCCCTCACTCACAATCACTCGCTCGCTCGCTCACTGGTTTACTCGCTCACTCACTCACTCACTCACTCACTCCCTCCCTCGCTCACTCACTCGCTCCCTCACTCACTCGCCCACTCCTTTTCGCTCTCACAGCCTCATTTCTCAGGTGCCGCCGGCTCCACCCTCTTCTCAATCCCCTAGTAGTTTCTCTATCGACTCAGAATGTTGCCTGAAGTACCCGATTTTCTCTCCTCCCCTCGTTCCTTCGTTCCCTTACTGCCTCTCGCACTGCAGTTTGTGTGTCAGCATTGCCAAAAGGGATTCGCACGCAAAGACAGCTTACAGGCGTTCACAACCCCGATGCTCCCAAGGTAAGCTACCCTCTCTCTCTCTCCCCCTTCCCCCTTTTTCCCTATTCTCCCTTGCTCCTTCCCTCCTCCCCCTTTTTCCGTCCTCCTCTTTCTCTCCTCTCACTCCCTCCTCGTCCTCTCCTTCCCTCGTCCCTTCCTGTCCATATTGCAATATCCCGTCCCAATCCTCCCCCTCTTCCTCCGTCCTGCCTCACTCGCCTCTCTTACACTCCAAACAACTTGACACGTCTTGTTTTGAGGTGCCTCATAGCAAGTCTTGCCTCACTCGCCTATCTTTCAGGGTTCAAAAAAACGACCGTTTTATTGAAATTTTACCGTAAAAAACGGTACCGTAAAAAACGGTCGTAAAAAACGGTTTAAAACGGTTCCAGGAGGTGTTTCCTCTTAACTAACAAAACGGCCACTTAGTGGGACCAAATTGAAGCTGAAACACAGCAGCATGAAGGGGACGGACCCCTTCTTGCATGTATGCGCTTGTTGGCATGATTGAAAATGTTTTTGACCTTGTTTTTCTCTTTTTTTTTCTTGGTGAACAGAGTTCTCTAACAAAAAAACGGCCGTTTTTTTGAAAAATCACCGTAAAAAACGGACCGTATTTTACGAAAACCGTAATTTTGAACCTTGCTATCTTTCACTCTAAACAACTTCACACGAGCAACAATGCAGTCTAATAGGTGCAACTTGCTTTTCGAAATTTGACACGTCTTAAAACTTATCTAGTTGCTACTTGTTTCTTCCTCTCCCTCAACCCCCAAAATCACCAGCACCCATGTCCCCACTGCTCTAGCGTCTTCAAGCGTTGCCGCGACATGGCATATCATGCAAGGAAGAAGCATGGGGAAGAGGGGGGGGGCGGGTGCAAGGTAATTGCTGTGTCTGGAGGGGAGAAGGAAAGTGGTTCCAGGCTAAAGAATGTGCATCGGGGGGAGAAGGGGATGAGGGTGCATGAAGGTGTGGTGGGGAGGCATGGAGGCGGGAAGAAGGCTGATTTCGTCAGTGGGGAAGAGGGAAGGAGGGAGGAGGAGAGGGAAGATGAGGAAAGAGAGGAGAGGGGCGAGAGGGGGGGGAGAGGGGCGAGAGGGGGGAGGGAGGGAGGAGAGGAGAGGGACGAGGAGGAAAGAATGGGGGAGGAGATGCAGGAAGAGGCG